GGTGCACCCTTACACGTGTAAGTCAAACTTTCACGAGAGCGTTCGCTTAGCTATCACGTGATCTTTGTGCCTGCATACTTATTGAGCACGTACGGTCAATGAACCCGACCGATTTACTTATTGAGCAGCCGGTTGCCCAGTGCTGTAATGGTGCGCATCTGGCGGGCACTGGCTAGTTGACTGCATACACTGTTCCACAGACCCGACTTGCCACACAAACCTGACTTACCCAAGAACTGCTCCCCGCGAAGATGCACCGCCGGTGAAAGCCCTCTTTTGGTGGTTTGTGTACGTGCATGCGCGTTGTACAAACATCCCAACAACACCGTCGTGTACCAAGACTAACAACCTGCCGGTTAGATTGTTCCTGAATGGCACGTCGGTAACCAAAGGGGTTGCAGTTTTTTTTGTGCTCGTCTGGCACTTTGGTATGCAAAGTATGTTTCATTTGTGCCTTTTTGGAATGGTGCTAAAAGTGTTAATTTATTGTCACAGGTTGGCACTCGATTGTCATAGTCGAGACCTGTGCCGGTTCAATAAATTGTTTTACAAGGAAAATCTGCTCGAAAGAATCCAAACGGACAGCTTCTTATGTTGATCCTCAAATAATCTTATTGCTAGAATACACTACAAATACAATCACTCAAAGTACATGGCGACTATACAACAAAATACCAACAATGGATGGACAGGCAATTTAAAAGATACACTTGGATTGAAAACAGGATTCAAGCAACCCAATCAAAAGGAAAGGAACTAAAATGACTTATACAGAAAAAATGCAATCTCTTATACAATCAAGAAATTAAACAAAAAAAAAAACTAAATCAGGCTTCGCGGTGATCTTGAGCTTGCTTGATCCAACTTGACCAGTGGATATGGGGGCAGCTCCAAATCCTTGGTAGTCCTTCGCTAGGTCAAGAGACTCACAGATCCAGCATGATGATGGGGAAAAGGGGCAAAGTGAAGACGGCAGAGAGACGAACCGGGTCGGCTCCCCAAAGCCACATGACCTATGGGCAAGTAGCCTGCACCAACACAGCAGCACAGGTCAGTGATGAGAAGGAGTTTCAATAACTTTTGTCTAACAAGCAAAGTGCAGACAGCGCTTGGAGACAGCCTTCTCATTAGGTCTCAGATCGCTTCTTCTAATTAATTAATTAAAGATCAACAGTCTTGTTTAGTTACACCAAAACTAATATATAATCTTAACTAACGCTTCTTCTAATTAATTAATTAATGATCAACAGTCTTGTTTAGTTACACCAAAACTAATATATAATCTTAACTACATAATAGGAATAAAACTAAGATACAATGAAACCAACCGAATAAGACATGCGAATGAATGAACGAGATTATGATTAAGTAACGCATAACTAATATGTTCACCCAGAACACCTTATTTAAAAATACACTAAATAATATCAGGGAAAGTTCGCTAAAACTTCATAGGCAATCATAGG